TTCTCCTCCCACCATACTGTTTTTGCTTTTATATACAGACGTTATATATAAGTATCTGCATGTTTTGTTTACCATAGCGAACAACTAAGCTGGTATAGGGAGTCCAGACAGTAAAAGGTGGTCACACAGAGTCAGCAGACAATGCTACCTCCCTCCCTATCAAGATTACTCCTCCCACTACAGGGCTAATTATCACAACAATCCTGCTATTATCAGAATCCTGGTCATTTTTATCACAGTCAGGGGTCTTATGTAATAATATCATCGCTAAATAATAGCATGAACATGTATATTATGACATTTTTAGGTGATGCTGTGGTCACAAGCTGAACAGCAGTGCTGTGAGCTCATGCTGCATGCGTCAGGCTTGGTAGCTCACTCAATACTGAGGCCCTCACACCCGGGAATTTCGCCCACGATATTTTTTTTAAATGGCGTATGTTTACAAGAGCCCTGATGAAGGTGAGGTGAACCCCGTGTATCCGCGGGCCGTTTAAATCTTGTGTAGTACTCCAATACATCATATGATGGGATGCACAATTTATAGCAAGTCACTCAACCCATCATATGATGTGTTGCGCAACTTAAGGGTTAAGGGGCGATTCTTGTTTTTCTCATATTTTCCTATTCTTCTAAAATCTGACATTTTCCTTTGAGCCTTCTCCTAAACCTACTATTTTCTTTATGATTTTCATCTATTCTGCTGCTTGGTCCACCCTATATGAAATTTCCTTCTCCAAACAACCAAAAATTATTATGGACTTACTTCTATCTGCAGTGTTTTGTACTAGTTTACTGTTGGTAACCAGTTCTTTCCTAATTGCTTGCCTAATTTCTGCTTCTTGTTGGTCATTTCTGGTTTTGACTTATGAACACACTTCCTTGATTGTCTTTCTCTTTTTACAACTTGTGCATACGTCTCTTTTTATTTCTTCTTTATACTTTTCTAGTTCTTTATTAGCCTCCTTTATTTGAGTTGCCAATGAAGTTTCTCATTGCATCTCCTTGCCTAACTCCATGTTAGCCCTCAAGTTCCCTTAAAGTTGTTCACCATATGAGTCTATTTTCTTGTTAATTTCTTCAAATTCCCTACTTTTCACTTTCCATGCCTCACTGTCCTTTCTTAGTTCCTTGATGTGTTCCTTCTGTATCCTTACCTTATCAGTCAAGCTGGTAATTTCCTCACCTTGCTGGAAAATACTTCATTTTAAATTACAAAACTCAATCATGAGACCTTCCTTTTCTTGTTCTAATTTAATAACCTTTTCTTCATAATTCTTTAGCATGTCCTCAATAATCACTAACCTGCCAAGAAAACTCTCTTTCATTACATCTTGTTGCGAGAAACCTGCAAAACATTGCTTTGATGGGGTGCTGTCCTCCCCTGTGGTGGCCCTGAGTGTATAATACAGTGTGTTACTGTGTAAATAGTGTGTGAAACTGTACATATTGTAATTTTAGTGAATTTTTAACAAGTAATATTGCGACAATAAACATATATTGTGGACACATTGCTGACACATGTATCACAGTTCCATGGAACATTATGAACATTCTACTGTATACATATTGTAAAGGACACAAATATGAATCATATATGATAAAAGGAACAAATAAAACCGCACTGGAAATACACAGTGCAAATAATTCAAAATATATTTGTGGCAACTCGCGGTGCTTGAATGGCCTGTGCGACCATGTTTGGGAGCTTCACACACAGATGAACAGCCTCTGATGACGGCACAGTGCACCTTGTCCACATCCCCACAACCAAAGTAAGTGGAATTTGGTATTTATTTTTACAGACATGTTCAGGGAAGAAAATTTATCATTTTACAAAGAAAAACTTTTTGGGGGAACACTTGATTTCATGCGCTCGGGGGAATCTCACAATAAACTCAGCGCATCACAGTAGTTAAGCTGCCACCAGTATTATCAGTTGTTTTGGTTGTGGTTCTAGCTTTCTTGGTAGCGAGAAGGAATGGAGTACCAAACGCCTGTGGCTTTTTCTTTGGTTTTATTATATAGTTTTAAATACTCTCTTCTGGGCCACGAGCTAACTGTATAGTGTGTGTGCAGGACGAAGGCTCAAGATGGTCTGATCTTGGGCGGTGTTATTGCGTGACGCTTCATCTGCAATTCTGCTGACTCTGTTGTTGACTATGCAGTCGATGCATGCAGTTGAGATGAGGGTATTAATGGTCAACACATGATTGACCAATATTCGTCCAACTGTGTCCAATGTGTGTCCAACTGCATCCAATGTGCGTCCAACTGTGTCCAATGTGCGTCCAACTGCATTCAATGTGTGTCCAACTGCGTCCAACACCAGTAGTACACACATGGCTCACTCCCTCATTAGGAGGTAGGTGGTGGTAGTACACACGTGGCTCTATCCCTCATTGAGAGATGTGTGGTATTAGTAACATATGGCTCCCTCCTTCACTGGGAGGTGGGTGGTGGTAGTACACACATGGCTCTCTCTCACTGGGAGGTGGTAGTACACATGTGGCTCCCTCCCTCATGTAGCATGTGGTTCTCATGCTGTGAGGAAAGGAGAGAGGCAGTGAGGGAGGGAGGAAGAGTGGCAGTGAGGGAAGGAGAGTGGCAGTGAAGGAAGAAGAGGCAGTGAAGGAAAGAGTTACTGAGAAAGGGTTGGAGAGGCAATAAGGGAGGGAGGGAGGCAGTGAAGGTGGAAAGCAGAGAGGCAGTGATGGAGGGGGGGAAAAAGAGAGAGAGAGAGTGATGGAGATAGGTAGTGAGGGAGAGCAGCAGGGTGCAAGAGAGGCAGTGAGGGAGGGAGAGAGAGAGGCAAAGAGATTGGGCGGAATAGAGGCAGTGAGAGATGACGAGAGAGAGAGGTAGTGAGGGAGGGATGGAGAGAGGCAGGGATGGAGAGAGGTAGGGAGGAAGAGAGTCAGTGAGGGAGAGAGGCATTAACCCTTACACTGCTCAGGGGTCCTGGGGACATTTACACCCCTGTGCGCAAAAAAAAAAAAATCAGACTTTTTTTTTCGTCATCTAAACATGTTAATTTGTGTCCCCTGAGCACGGGAAAAGTAAAAAAAAATCGTAGGTGACATATTTTGGGTGCAATTGACCGAGGAAGTCTGGCAAAAAGTGGGCGTTGACAGAGCGGTCGTCAGACCTGGTCAGCGTCACCCGCGCTGACAGATGGGAGTTGCCACAAAGATATTATTACCGAATTGTTTCAATGTCTCCGATTGATTTTTTCTTAGTTTTTTTGCAGTAATATTATTCAATAGTGTATATTGTAATATATTTATATAATAAAAGTGGCGAATAATCGCTATACTCAAAAGTATGATGTGCATATTAGTGATTCAATTATGTTTATAAAACAATAAACAAATAGTTTTGCTGCTATTACACTCTATACACAGGTTATATCTGCAAGTATCTGCATGTTTTGGTCACCATGACGAACCACTAAGTTGGTATTGAGAGTCGAAAAGCAACGAAGAGTTACCACCACACACCAGCCAGCCACTCGCTGCCACTCCCTCAACACACGCACTAAACTTTCTTCTCCAACAATACCATTTGTGGTGTTATTACACTATATACAGACGTTATATATAAGTATGTATATATTTTGTTCACAACTGTACAGCTAAGCTGATATAGATAGTTCAGGCACTAAGAGTCGTCGCTATACACAGATGCCGCCTGGCGGCTCCCTCACTCATTCAAGGTCACACACACTAAACTTTCTCCCCCAACAATACTGTTTGCAGTGTTATTACCCTATATACACATATTATATATAAGTATCTACATGTTTTATGCACCGTAACTGTACACCTAAGCTTGTAGTGCGCCCAAAGAGCATAGTGGCCACCCTCTAAACAGCTAGACAAATCGTGCAGACGACGTCACCTTCGTCACCCATATGGCTCCTCCCAGCATAATCCTTTTGCTGTTATTACACTAATACACACATTATATATAAGTATCTACATTTATGTTCACCATAGAGAACCACTGACTTGGTATGGTGAATGCAAACAATAACAGGTAGCCACACAGTCAGTAAACGATGCTGTCTCCCTCCGTCTCGCAGCATCACTCCTCCCACAGCTCTTAATTATTACAACAATCCTGCTATTATCACAACCCTGGTTATTTATATCACAGTCATGGATCATCTGTAATATTGTCATCGCTAAATAATAACAATTATATATTTATTTTGACATTTTTCGGCGATGCTGTGGTCACAAGCTGAACAGCAATGCTGTTCGCTCATGCTGAGTGTGCCAGCCTTGGTTGCTCCAACAGTACTGTGCCTCTCACACCTGAGAATATTGCCCACGATTTTTTTAAAAAATGGCATCTGTTTACAAGAGCCCTGAGGAAGCTACTGTGAACCCCGTGTAGCCGCGGGCCATTTGAATCGGGCCTGGCACCCTATGGCGTATATATACACCATGTGCACCGTGGGACATGTTACTCAGGGTGTATATATACGCCATGCGCAGTTTAAGGGTTAAGGGATTGTGGCATTGAGGGAGGAAGAGGCAGTGAGGGAGGGAGGGAGAGAGGCAGTGAGGGAGGAATGGAGATTGGTAGGTAGGAAGAGAGGCAATGAGGGAGAGACAGTGGTAGTGAGTGAAGGAGAGGTAATGAGGGTGGGAGGGAGATTTCACTAAGTAAAATTTAAAGTTAAGTCTGTCATATGAAGGAAATTTAACATTTTATCCTGTGATATGATGGGAAACATTTTTTCAAAAGTCTGTGAACTCTGTCCCAACACTCTTAGCAAATCTGCATATCCACCGTTTTGGTGAATCAGATGAATAAATTCGGCCTGGAAATTTTACTTCCTCGTATTATTTATGATAGTATAAAAGAACCTAGCTGAACCGAGGTTCGACGAATCAGGGGTCCAATGTACTGTATTTGTATATGTAAAAATGTGCATTATGGCAATTTTATTGTTGTACACTAATAAAAATTATTGCTTTATTTCACTGCAGAAGATAAATCTTCAATAATGGATGATGATTTAGAAAGCATTGAAGACGAGTCTAATGCATCTCAAACAAGAACCCTACTGTGCCCGTTGTGTGGAAAATCACTCAAGGTCAGGAGGCTCATATATAACTATATTTTTAAAACATTAAAGTTAACTGTTTTTTAACTTAGTAATATCTAGCATTAACCCTTCAAAGTGTAGCTGTTGTGAAAATTGTCACCCTGGCTGTGTGCAAAAGTAAACAAAATTACCAAAATAAATCAGATTAAGTCAAAATTGTTATGTTGTCCTTGGTAAGTGCTTCAAGTGGTGTATGTTGATGGGGATTTGAAGTGTGTTTAACTTTAAATGGTTTTGTTGCCTCCTATGACTGCTGAGCCACTATTGGGCTATTGGAACCCATACAGGCAACTTTGGTATTCAAACATTGACTCAAAACAAGGATCTTTTCTCTGCGAAGCCCCATCAGTTCCATGAAGCTATTCTTTTATTTATTATTTATTTATTTATATATACAAGAAGGTACAATGGTATTGATGTTTTTACATTATTGTAAAGCCTTATTGTATTGTAAAACATTATTGTAACATGCATGGCGTGTTTAACTGACAGGTGCAATTTTTTAACGATGCCGTGGCTTCAAGTTGAACAGCAATGCTGTTAGCTGGTGCTGCATGTGCCAGCCTTGGTTACTCAAATAGTACTGTGGTCTTCACACCCAGGAATGGTGCTTACAATATTTTTTTTCAAAATGGCATTTGTTTACTGGAAATCTCAGAATGCCAGTTTGAGCCCCTTGTACCTGCGGGAGTTTTAAAATCATACGATGTACCCTACTACATCATATGATGTAATGCACATCCCAAGAGTTCCCTCCCCCACCACCGATACACCTCCCCCTCTCCCCCCACCCCAAACCCATACACACACACACACACACTCAAAGGTCACGTGGTTCATGGTTCACTTCAACACCCATATATCGCTTCCTGCCTGCCTGCCTCCTTCCCAGCCTGCAAGCCTGCCTGCCTGCCTGCCTCCTTCCCAGCCTGCAAGCCTGCCTGCCTGCCTGCCTGCCTGCCTCCTTCCCAGCCTGCAAGCCTGCCTGCCTGCCTGCCTCCTTCCCAGCCTGCAAGCCTGCCTGCCTCCTTCCCAGCCTGCAAGCCTGCCTGCCTGCCTGCCTCCTTCCCAGCCTGCAAGCCTGCCTGCCTGCCTGCCTCCTTCCCAGCCTGCAAGCCTGCCTGCCTGCCTGCCTCCTTCCCAGCCTGCAAGCCTGCCTGCCTGCCTCCTTCCCAGCCTGCAAGCCTGCCTGCCTGCCTGCCTCCTTCCCAGCCTGAGAGCCTGCCTGCCTGCCTGCCTGCCTCCTTCCCAGCCTGAGAGCCTGCCTGCCTGCCTGCCTGCCTCCTTCCCAGCCTGAGAGCCTGCCTGCCTGCCTCCTTCCCAGCCTGCAAGCCTGCCTGCCTGCCTCCTTCCCAGCCTGCAAGCCTGCCTGCCTCCATCCCAGCCTGCAAGCCTGCCTGCCTGTCTCCTTCCCAGCCTGCAAGCCTGCCTGCCTGCCTGCCTCCTTCCCAGCCTGCAAGCCTGCCTGCCTGCCTGCCTGCCTGCCTGCCTGCCTCCTTCCCAGCCTGCCTGCCTGCCTGCCTCCTTCCCAGCCTGCAAGCCTGCCTGCCTCCTTCCCAGCCTGCAAGCCTGCCTGCCTCCTTCCCAGCCTGCAAGCCTGCCTGCCTGCTTGCCTCCTTCCCAGCCTGCAAGCCTGCCTGCCTCCTTCCCAGCCTGCAAGCCTGCCTGCCTGCCTCCTTCCCAGCCTGCAAGCCTGCCTGCCTCCTTCCCAGCCTGCAAGCCTGCCTGCCTCCTTCCCAGCCTGCAAGCCTGCCTGCCTGCCTGCCTCCTTCCCAGCCTGCAAGCCTGCCTGCCTGCCTGCCTCCTTCCCAGCCTGCAAGCCTGCCTGCCTGCCTGCCTCCTTCCCAGCCTGCAAGCCTGCCTGCCTGCCTGCCTCCTTCCCAGCCAGCCAGCCTGCTTCCTTTCCAGCCAGCCTGCCTCACTCCCTGCCATCATGCTAACGGGTAGTGTGTGTTAGGCTTATCTTCGGGAATGAGCCGGTCTCACCCCCACCACCAACAAACCACCCGCCCCCCTACATCCCATCTCTCAAGGTCACGCGGTTGAACAACCGCGTGACTACCACTCACTCCCTGCTGCGCCTGCCTGCCTGCCTGCCTGTGCCTGCCTGCCTGTGCCTGCCAGCCTGCCTTTCCCTCCCTAATTCTCACTACTTCCATCCCTTCCTGCCTACCTCCTAGCATCTCTCCCTACCTCCCCCTCCCTCTTAGCATCTCTCCCTACCTCCCCCTCCCTCTTAGCATCTCTCCCTACCTCCTAACATCTCTCCCTACCTCCCCCTCCCTCCTAGCATCTCTCTCTCCCCCTCTCTCACTGATTCTCCCCCCCCCCTCATTCATACTGCCTCCCATCTAAGCTCCATCGTCCATCCACCCACCAGTCAGCCATCACTGATGCAATGCGTGCATTTGGAGCCAACATGGTGCACAGATGTTTCTTGATTGTGCAGATATGTAAAACAAAAGCACAGAATGAACATTCCAGCCTTATGGCAATTCAAAATAATAGGAATAATAGGCCGTGAATCTGTGAAGTCACAGTGGGCAAACTGGACCATCGCCCACCCACCACAACAAGCCGGCGTGACGCTTGGCGGACCCCTTCCTACCCGAACTTTGTTCGGGTAGCATGACTCCCCAACCCCAATCGGGAAACTGGAAGTTTCGGATAACTAAAGTTCGGAAACCAAGTGGTGCTCTGTAGATGCATCGTCCAGGGGTTAACCTTTGGGTGGCACTGGTGCTTATGACCTGCACAACCACTGAGCACAAGAAAAAATTCAAAAAATTTGTTTCTTTCTAAGCTTGTTAAAATGTGTTCCCTGATCACAGGGGGGAGGGGGGTGATTGTAGGTGACATATTTTGGCTGCAATAGGGAGAGGAAGTCTGGCAAAATTGAAGCATTAACAGAGTATGCATCTGGCGCTGGTCTGCCTCACCCATGCTGTCAGGCGGGAGTTGCCACAAAGGTATTATTACCTAATTATTTCAATGTCTGATTTTTTTTGTTTCCTGGGGAGAGCCCTTACGGCTCCCCGAAGCTATCCAGGCTGATATGGATATCCCTTACTTTGGCATCAGTTGATGTGGGTGGAGTTCTAGGCCTACTGGGGACCATGAGCCAGAACCTGGCCCCCTCAGAGAGGCACGAGGAGCAATGGCCTATAGAAATGTACATGTGATTTTGGAGCATTCTGTATCTGCCAACGACCGGGACAGGCACCCAGAAAGGTAAGCACCTCAAAACAAACCCCCTATTCTGGTTAAAACGACGACAGTAGACAAACGAGTGGACAGAACACCTCAAATGAAAATGAGCAAATGAGCATGATGTCACACGAGCCACGCCGCTTGTCTGCGCAGCTCCCCCCCTCCCCAGGAGGGGGAAGGGGGAGCCCCAGATCCCTGTGCTGGCGATCCACACCCCAGTTCTTCGGCTGATGGAATACGGCATGGTCGTGTGGCTCCAGCTTCGGATTCTTGTTGTGCTGTCCTCTGTTTCAGTACTGCTCTTACGGTGGCGTGTAACATGCATGGCGTGTTTAACTGACAGGTGCAATTTTTTAACGATGCCGTGGCTTCAAGTTGAACAGCAATGCTGTTAGCTGGTGCTGCATGTGCCAGCCTTGGTTACTCAAATAGTACTGTGGTCTTCACACCCAGGAATGGTGCTTACAATATTTTTTTTCAAAATGGCATTTGTTTACTGGAAATCTCAGAATGCCAGTTTGAGCCCCTTGTACCTGCGGGAGTTTTAAAATCATACGATGTACCCTACTACATCATATGATGTAATGCACATCCCAAGAGTTAATACAGAGCACCACTTGGTTTCCGAACCCCTTGGGGACGAGACCCGTCGGTTAACATGTAAGTTCGTATACGAGAAATAGAGGGGAAAAAATAAACTAGAAATGTAAAAAGATATTTTTTCCGAAAAAATTCACGAAAAAAACTCTAGGGGAAAAAATCGACAGGTTCATAGCGTAAATGCGACTGTGTTTTGTTTGTACTCACCAATAAGTGAAGTCCTGATCCGCTTTATAAAAGTCCTTAATTGTTCCTAACTGATTATTAAGACGTCTGGCAAACATCCTCTGGATGTTTCCTGCCAGCCTGCAGGCACATCCTGCCTAAAATATACGATGATGTACTGTACATTTAAGAAACAAATCTGGGTCACAGGTCTGTGGAGTGTGGTTAGGCTTACGGAGTCAGCCGGTCCCTCCCCCACCACCGATACACCTCCCCCTCTCCCCCCACCCCAAACCCATACACACACACACACACACTCAAAGGTCACGTGGTTCATGGTTCACTTCAACACCCATATATCGCTTCCTGCCTGCCTGCCTCCTTCCCAGCCTGCAAGCCTGCCTGCCTGCCTGCCTCCTTCCCAGCCTGCAAGCCTGCCTGCCTGCCTGCCTGCCTGCCTCCTTCCCAGCCTGCAAGCCTGCCTGCCTGCCTGCCTCCTTCCCAGCCTGCAAGCCTGCCTGCCTCCTTCCCAGCCTGCAAGCCTGCCTGCCTGCCTGCCTCCTTCCCAGCCTGCAAGCCTGCCTGCCTGCCTGCCTCCTTCCCAGCCTGCAAGCCTGCCTGCCTGCCTGCCTCCTTCCCAGCCTGCAAGCCTGCCTGCCTGCCTCCTTCCCAGCCTGCAAGCCTGCCTGCCTGCCTGCCTCCTTCCCAGCCTGAGAGCCTGCCTGCCTGCCTGCCTGCCTCCTTCCCAGCCTGAGAGCCTGCCTGCCTGCCTGCCTGCCTCCTTCCCAGCCTGAGAGCCTGCCTGCCTGCCTCCTTCCCAGCCTGCAAGCCTGCCTGCCTGCCTCCTTCCCAGCCTGCAAGCCTGCCTGCCTCCATCCCAGCCTGCAAGCCTGCCTGCCTGTCTCCTTCCCAGCCTGCAAGCCTGCCTGCCTGCCTGCCTCCTTCCCAGTCTGCAAGCCTGCCTGCCTGCCTGCCTGCCTGCCTGCCTGCCTCCTTCCCAGCCTGCCTGCCTGCCTGCCTCCTTCCCAGCCTGCAAGCCTGCCTGCCTCCAATAGATGCATCGTCCAGGGGTTAACCTTTGGGTGGCACTGGTGCTTATGGCCTGCACAACCACTGAGCACAAGAAAAAATTCAAAAAAATTGTTTCTTTCTAAGCTTGTTAAAATGTGTTCCCTGATCACAGGGGGGAGGGGGGTGATTGTAGGTGACATATTTTGGCTGCAATAGGGAGAGGAAGTCTGGCAAAATTGAAGCATTAACAGAGTATGCATCTGGCGCTGGTCTGCCTCACCCATGCTGTCAGGCGGGAGTTGCCACAAAGGTATTATTACCTAATTATTTCAATATCTGATTTTTTTTGTTTCCTGGGGAGAGCCCTTACGGCTCCCCGAAGCTATCCAGGCTGATATGGATATCCCTTACTTTGGCATCAGTTGATGTGGGTGGAGTTCTAGGCCTACTGGGGACCATGAGCCAGAACCTGGCCCCCTCAGAGAGGCACGAGGAGCAATGGCCTATAGAAATGTACATGTGATTTTGGAGCATTCTGTATCTGCCAACGACCGGGACAGGCACCCAGAAAGGTAAGCACCTCAAAACAAACCCCCTATTCTGGTTAAAACGACGACAGTAGACAAACGAGTGGACAGAACACCTCAAATGAAAATGAGCAAATGAGCATGATGTCACACGAGCCACGCCGCTTGTCTGCGTAGCTCTCCCCCTCCCCAGGAGGGGGAAGGGGGAGCCCCAGATCCCTGTGCTGGCGATCCACACCCCAGTTCTTCGGCTGATGGAATACGGCATGGTCGTGTGGCTCCAGCTTCGGATTCTTGTTGTGCTGTCCTCTGTTTCAGTACTGCTCTTACGGTGGCGTGTGAGCTGGGAGTAATATTCACAGCTACTTGGGCTGCATGTGCTTAGGGTTACCTTCCCTGAGTGCCCTGTAAGTACCACCCTTGGGGCTTGGGGTTATCTTCCACAAGTCACCTTGACTCTGTTTGTCTTTTGCTGCTTGGTGATTGACCGCCCTGAGTGTTTTGGGGGTTTCCACCCCTTGTTTGCCTTGGGGGAAGCGGTAGTTTTTGCACTGGTAGGGGTGCGGGGTACTGCACAGCTAGTTTTCACCTATAACAGCGGCTGGCTCTGTTCCCTCTGGGTACGCTGTCCTCTTGCGAGGTTTTTCTTTCCTTTTTGTTTGTGCCGGGGGGGGGGGGGGGGTCTGCCTTGGTGTTCCTTCTCCTGTTATATTAGGGTTTACTTTTGTTTGGTGGTACCCCCTGCTTCGCCCTCATGAGTAGACACATCCCGGGGTTTTAGCTTTAGCAGTATTGATTGGAAGCTTGGGCGCTAGTTAGCAGTACCCTGCCTGGGTAAACCCTTTGCAGACTCAGTCTTAGTCAGACTCAGTCTGGGAAACCCCGCAAGGGCACTCGGGTTCGATGAATGCGACCCCTGAGTCCCCTCTCGTCTTGTGCGAGTTTGAGGGCTGCTCTGTCCCCTTGTCTCAGGGAGATGCTCATTGTTTTTGCTTCCGTCATGCTGCCTGCTAGGTCGGTGACACCTCTGACTCTGAATCCTGCGAGCATTGTTGCTTGTTTGTGACTCCATTCACCCAATCTACTGATGACAGTCTTCGGTTGCAGGCGGCTCAGGCGTTGCATGCTAGGTATAGGTTGCTGCAATGTGCTAGGTTAGTTGCTTCCCTGGATGCCCCAAGGCTGCCCCGTTTTGTTTATAGGGACCCGGACTTGGGGGGGTGTTGGCCGTTTCGGCACCCCCCTTGTTCTTCCCAAGCTGTGGTTCATTCTGCCCATCCCCACTTCCCCTGCTACCGGCTCCATAGTGTCTGAGGGCTTCGGGGTTGGGGCAGGGTTTTGAGGTTTCTGAGACTTAGGCAATTTCTGGGGTTGCCCCTTCCGGTGTGGCGACGGAGGCATTTGAGTCCATTCCTTCTGCTGTAACTCTGCGGTCTGACCATTGGGCCCACTCTCTTCCTGCTATTTCTGCCGCCCCGGCTTTTTCTTGTGAGGCTGGGGCTTTGGAGGATGACTCGGCTCCTGGGCCCTGTTGTGGAGGTTTGCGGGGTAGGGGAGGGGCTGACTTGGGGGCCTTGGGTCCACCCAAGCGGGGTCCAACAAATCTTTTCCAACCGCCCCTTCCCAGGTTCGGTTCCATGTCCCTTCAGGTCTGTCGGCTCCGTCCCTCTGTGGGCACTTTTATCCACCTTCCCATCCTTCGTCTCTAGTACTTGTGTTCTATGTCAGGCCACAATCATGTTCTGTTGTATCGGGCCCCTGCATGACCACTGGTCACAAATGCCATTGGGTCCATATGAGCCTCTGTGATTTTGTGCTTGATGATCTAGGCTCTTGCAGGTTCAGGTAGATCTTTGATCCTTCAACATTATTGGAACGTTGGTCGCCTTCCAGTACGGCTTACCTCCAGTCCATTCTAGGAATCATTGGTCCTCTTCCATATTACTTATCATTTTTCGATGCCTTTTCTGATTATTTGATAATCACCTCTTCCTGTACCTTGTCTCAACATTACTAATAATCGTTACATATTCCTTGTTGGCACCCTCCCCGAAAGTCGAGTGGTGCAGCCCGGACCTCATGTGTCCTGCACATGCGCCGTGGGTGATCGTTTTGTTTATGGTCGGTGTAATCATGTTGGTGTTCCGCGACCTTTATCATGGGTAGTACATCGCTCTAGCTCATCTTCTCTCTCCAGTCATAGCCGCCTCGATCCTGGGGGAGTTCTGTATTTTATATACAGGGGTACCTCAGTTTACACTTTTGCGCTCCCTGGGAATAGGCTGACCTTGAGCCCTAAGTGAGCCGTTCGTGTCGGCCTACTGCGCGTCAGCACTAAAATGTTTATAATCTTTTCGGGGTGGTGAGCTTAATTTTGGCGGTATGTATTTAAATTTGGTATCATTGTGTTCGCGAGAGAATGCTCTAGAGGAATATATATATAAAATGTCACCAAAGACAACATGAGAACCACACCAAATAACAAACTGTGGCGTTCGTTAGCCGTGAGCGTAAAACCGGGCATCAATGTTTACGATGTTTTTATGTTTGCGAACCCCAGAATTGTTATTCGTGGTTTATTTTGGTATCATTGTGACCGCAATACAATTCCCATAACGGACATATAAATATACACAATAAATAATGGTGTCGCCCCACCCGCAGGAATGTGGGAAGTTGGCTTAGGGTTACCCGCTCCAGCGCGCCCAGCTGCACATGCGCTCAACCACAACTGAAAAGTTTATACTCTCCTCATGTTTGTGACCCTCATTTTCGCTGTACGTGTTTTATTTTGGTATCACTGTGTAGCTAATGAAATGTTCTATAAGAACATATGTATAACATTTCACCAAAGCTAACATTACGCGACCAGCAACCAAAGAACTGCGTGCTTTGTTTCACGCTCACACTAAACTCCGCTAAACTCTCCCTATATGATGCTACTCTGATTGTGTTTATCAAGTCAAAACTTGTTGCATATGGTTATGTTTGGTATCACGGTGATCGCAATAAAATTGCCTACACAGACATATGCATAAAAGTGGGTTACACGTGCGCGCCTCGCCCCCAAACACGTCGATGCCTCACCCGCCCAAACACCCATTTCCACACCCGCTACACCCAATACACCCGACAAACAAAAATATTGTTCCAATGGAAGTTTTTGTGCTACATTGTTCATTTTGGTGTCAAAATACTCGCAATAAGATGCACTATGTAGACATACCAATCTGAGCACTAAGAACCAGAATATATATAGAGCTACCCACAGCAAAGTATGAAGAAGTAATAACCTCACAATGTGTAATATAAATTTTGTGTACTTATCCACGATGTGATGAAGGAAGGTCAACAAGTTGAGCATTTGATTATCCACTCCACTGGCTTCAGGAAAATGTCCCTGAAGTTGCTCAACAGATGTTACGTTAGGTGGAGTGGAAGCTTTCAGAGGCGTTATTTCTTTGCTGTCCAAAATACCCTCTTGCGGTGGTATTTTGTGTAGCATGGTGTGGCACATAGAGCAACTCCACATGTCTTGCACTGATACATAGAGTCTTTTCTAATTCCCGACTTCATACAAACTCGGCACCGTTTCCGTTTAGCAATTTTCATTATTGCATGAGTCAACTTCTTGTTTAGCCTGTCCTCTGAATCAACAATGCGTGGGTTTTTCACAGGTGGAGGAGTAGCTTCAGCTTGAGGTGCAGGCGTTTCAGTTTCAGGTTCAGTGTCTGATGAGGATGAGACATGTGGTTGGCGTGGAAGACGATGAAATAAAGGACGCCTCGCTCCAGATGGGCCAGGTGTTGCCAGATCATCAGAAGGATCTTGGTATTCATCAGCATGTGGGAGAGGGCTTTCAGTGGCAGGCCACTCATCCAGGTCCCACCTCAACAGGGCCCATATTGCTACCTCATGAAACTGGAGTAGGGTTAGTTTCTTGGCATCAGTTGTGTACATCTTGTACAACACATAGGCATTGTGTATAGCCATCTGAAGGAAATAAAATGTGATCTTCTTAGTCCACTTATGTGATTTCCTGATGAACCTGTAATATTTGACCATTTGGTCGAAGTGATCAACTCCCTTCATGTTGTTGTTGTAGTCGCAAATGGCTGTTAGTTTGTGCACAGTTACAATCTGAACAGATGATGTTCCGTCACGTTTCTTCACTCTCTTCCTTCTCTGTACTTCCTGTGTGTCAGCATTATGGCAGTTTGTGATCACTGACACCACTCTCTTGTCTTTCCAAAGGATAACAAAAGTGTTATCCTTGCGCCTGAAAATAGTCTGATCAACAGCGAATTTACCTTTTGCAAGTTGTTGCAGCTCTTTAGGGGCACCACGCTGCAATCTGAGTGTTCCACAAGTGTACACACCATTTTCCCTTAGCAATTCTGTGAGATGGACAGAGTTATAATAATTGTCCATATAAAGATGATAACCTTTGTTCAACAAGGGTCGCATAAGGCCCATCACTGTCTCAACTGTTGTCTTGCCCACTCCAGAATAAACCTCGAAATCAATAATATAACCAGTCCCTGCCTCAGCAAGCATGTACAACTTTACCCCATACTTATCAGGCTTATTGGGGTTGTAAACCTTGAAGGATAAACGACCACGCCACGACATTGTACCTTCATCCAAACTGAGTGCTTGATTGGGGACGTAGTATGAGTCAAATTTGTTGGTCAAATAAGTAATGATGGTGCTGAGTTTTATCATGTGGTTCTTGTTGTTGGGTGGAATTGCAAGCTGGTTATAAGTATGAAAAAACTGGGCAATATGTTGGAATCGTTTTGAAGTCATGAACACATTGAAGGTCCTCATATGCCACAACCGGCTTGTTTGCCAGTACATTCGCATTGTTGGGAGTCGTGCAATACCCATCAAGATTGATAAAGCCAAATACCTTGCCATTTCCTTCGCAGATACCTCCTTCCAAAACCTCATAGTGCGCCTGGAAGCATTCTGAATAAACTGCCTGGCATACCTGTTAGTTTCCACTGTGATGAACTCAATTAGGGCACGGGTCAGAAATAATTGAACAAATTGCAGGATGGTAATTGGCACTGGGACAGTTATGCCTGGTGTGGCACTGAAACTGCCTACAATTGGTGGTGTATTGTCAGTTGACCAGGCATCATCGGGATTAGGCTGTTGAAGACGTCCTGCACGCCTCCTTATAGGTGCCTTGGGGTGGCCCACATCCGCCGCCTAATCCTCACTCCCCTCGCTACTCTCCTCACTCGATGATTCATCAAACTCATCAGACGACGCCGGCCCCTCATTATCACTACTAAAATCACTCTGACGCTCTTCCCCTGCAGCATCTGCCTCCACATCTGACAAACGATCCAACAAATCGGGAATTTTACTAGGGGTAAGATTCACATTGCTGAACCTTTTGTAGAGCTCACTCAACTTATCTTCCTTGGTGATTTGACTATCCTTCTTGGGGGTAGAGGTGCTCTGTCCTTTACCACGATCCATGTTTGCAAGTAAATAATGGGTTGTAAAAAGACAGGAACGAATAAACACTGCTACACAGGGCAGAGAGGTGCACAGGTTCTGGACGCGGGAGCGTGGTAGTCCGGTCACGAGAGACGTAAACAAAGGACTAGGCCGACCGCATGGCGTGACCCAGAATCCCATGCGGCCTACGGAGGATTGTGGGAAAACAATGGCGCTAATTTAAAAAAAAAAAATGAAGATCGCATAGAAACTTTTTTTTTACAAATTTTTATATCAAGCGACTCACCGATGCGTCGTTGGATCGTATTCAGTAGAAAAATGAGTGACGAGATAGTAAGTCTGTGGAACGCAAAAGTGTTAACACTTTCGCGCTCACTGCGTTCTGAAAAAAACTTATCCTATGTGCTTTCGGCGTTTCGCACGCCTACACAGTAAGACCGAAAAAGTGTACACTCTTTCGACTGTCCTGACAATAATTGAAGGCACACGTATTTAAATTTGGTATCACTGTGTTCGCAATAAAATTGTCTATAAGAACATACCTATAAAATGCCGCCAAAGCATAAGGACTATCAACACCAAATAAAAAACTATTCAGATCACTCGCCGAGAGCGCCAAACAGCAACAAAATGTTTCCACTCTCTTAATGGTTGTGAAGCCTACAGTTGTTCTACATCGCTAATTGTGGTATCATTGGAATCGCAATAAAATTCTCTACATGGACATATGCATATAAATATAGATTCAATGTCGTAGCCCACCCAAAACAGTGTGGGAAGTGGCCGAAGTGTTACCCACGGCAGCATATCGGCGAAACTCGCTTTGAAAAGTGTATATTCAATTCACTGTCCTGACATTATTTTTCGATGTATGTATTTCATTTTTGTTCCAATGTGTTCACAATAGAATGTTCTATAAGAACATAAGTATTAAAGGTCACATAAGGATGCGTTCGACCGCCAACATATATAAAAACTACGTTGATTATACTCGTCGTGTCAATAATACAATTGTTTTACCACGATGATTCACTGCCACGCCATTCTCTTTAATAAGCTGTTCGGCTATTTGAGAAAACGTAAATTTCATGGCAAACATTTGTAAACTATTTCCAAGTTGATCGGATAATAAATGGATTTTATACAAATATTTTTTCTCGTGACTCCCAAGAGGGTCACGCCCGCGATGTTATTAACCCTTAACAGGTTTAATATCCTGTCATCCCCACAGGCGTATGTCATTTTGAAAAAAAAAAAATTATTTTTTCTTCCTAACTTGTTAATTTGTGTTCACTGATCACGGGAAAAATAATAAAAAAATCGTAAGAGGCATATATTGCCCGCTATAGGGCGGGGAAGTCTGGCAAATTATAGGCGCTGACTCAGCGTGCGTCCCAGGCGGTCTGTTGCTCGCAAGCTGTCAGGCCAGAGTTGCCACAAAGAGATAATTACCGAATTATTTCAATGTCTCTGATTGATTTTTCATACTTTTTTTGCTGTAATATTATTCAATAGTTTGTAGTTTGATATATTTATATAATAAAATGAGTGAATCATTGCTGTACTAAAAAATATGGTGTGCATATTGTTGATTCAATTATGTTCATCAATCAGTGAACAAATACTTTGTCGGTATTACACTATAAGCACAGGTTATATATAAGTATCTGCATGTTTTGTTCACTATAACGAACCACTAAGTAGCTATTATGAGTCAAAAAGTAACGAGGAGTGACCGCCGTTTACCAGCCAGCCACTCCCGCCCTCCCTCCAGTCATCTGACTCACCCACATTCTCCTCCCACAATAATGTTTTTGCTATAATTCACTATATACAGACGTTATATATAAGTATCTACATGTTTTGTTCACCATAACTGTACATCTAAGCTTGTATGGTGAGTAAAGGCACAAAGATGTGGCTACTCACACAGTCAGCTGATCGGCGGCCGCCCTCAAGGCCAGACGCACTAATATTTCTCCTCCAACAATACTGTGTGGTGTTATTACGCTATATACACACATTATATATAAATATCTACCTGTTTTATTCACCATACTTGTACAAATAAACTGGTATGGTGCCCAAAGACCATCATGGTAACCAGTAAACAACACCGTCGTCTGCATGGTGGTGTCGTGCAGACGACGCCACCGCCCTCACCAAAATGGCGGCTCCAAACCTTCTCTTGCTGTTTATACCCTCTATACACACGTTATATATAAGTATCTACATTTGTGTTCACCATAGCGAACCACTAAGCTGGTATGCTGAGTGCAGTCAATAAAAGGTGGCCACACACAGTCAAAAGACATCGCCACCACCCTCCCTCCCACAGCATTACTCCTCCCTCCATTGCGCACAGTGCTAAATATCACCACAATCCTGCTATTATCAGAACCCTGGTCAGTTTTATCACAGTCAGGGGTCTTCTGTAATATTATCATCACTACATAATAGCATGAACAAGTATAATTTGGCATTTTTAGGCGATGCTGTGGTCACAAGCTGAACAGCAGTGCTGTTAGCTCATGCTACGTGCGTCAGGCTTGGTTGCTCACTCAATACTGAGGCCAATAACACCCGGGAGTTTGGCCCACGATTTTTTTTAAAAATGGTGTCTGTTTACAAGAGCCCTGATGAAGGTGTGGTGAACCCCGTGTATCCGCGGGCTGTTTAAATCTTGCGTAGTACTCCAACACATCATATGATGTGATGCGCAGTTGACTGGAACAACGTCCAGCACGTCATATGACGTGATGCGCAGTTGACTGGAACAACGTCCAGCACGTCATATGACGTGATGCGCACTTTAAGGGTTAATAATATTGGTGACGACCACGGTCATCACGGATGCTCGAAAGTGTTAATGCCAAAAATGAAGCAATATTTTGCAAGAACTAGTAGCAGAAAATCAACCAGCACGAGAACAGCCGTACCCAACACGAGAACAGCCGTACCCAGCACGAGAACTGCCATACCCAGCACGAGAACAGCCGTACCCAGCACGAGAACAGCCGTACCCAGCACGAGAACAGCCGTACCCAGCACGAGAACAGCTGTACCCAGCAAGAGAACAGCCGTACCCAGCACGAGAACAGCCGAACCCAGCACGAGAACAGCCGTACCCAGCACGAGAACAGCCGTACCCAGCACGAGCACAGTTGTACCCAGCACTGGTACAACAGCCGTACCCAGCACAAGCACAGTTGTACCCAGCACTGGTACAACAGCAGCCAGCACCAGCTCAGAAGCAGCTGAACCCACAGCAGCAGCGAGCACCAGCAAAGCTGATGCAAACATTTTTTTTTTTTTTTTTTTTTTTTTTTTTTTTGAGATATATACAAGAGTTGTTACATTCTTGTACAGCCACTAGTACGCGTAGCGTTTCGGGCAGGTCCCTGGAATACGATCCCCTGCCGCGAAGAATCGTTTTTTCATCCAAGTACACATTTT